TATAGCACTGACTCATCTTAGTAACTGTACAGTATTTCATTTGTATAAAAATTTCACTGTTCAAGATCATATCATGAAAAATATTACACATACCTTAGTAATGAAAGCACAAGTGACAATAAGCCATCATCAAAAGCAGACTTTTTCAATATATGCCATTGATAGCTTCATTTTGTTTTCTTTCTTGAAGGTTTTTTCCAAGATTGTGTGACACTCTTTTACCACAATGCTTGTCAAAGGAGTATGGATTGAGCACATTATCTTTAGTTACTCTGATACTGACCAAATGTCTTCATCACCACCATGTCTGTTCACAGTCAGGTAGGGTATGATGCCCTCAGCTATACTACCCCACAGTTAGTTGTTGYCTTAGAGAGGGAATCTAGAGGAGAAAATGAAATTCTTTGGACAGCATACAGAATCAAAAAAAATCTAATTTAAGGCTGATTTGAAAATGTTCATTTTACAATGTTTCCCAGATGATTGTGTGCTGCTGAYAATATATCAAGGTTGTTTGAATGATGCTTTGGATTTGCCACATGGAAACAGGATCAACCTTCAATTGAAGGTACATGTATTTTGCAAAAATACATAACTCTTTGTTTATACTCTAGGTACAGTTTGAATGTAATTTGGTTCTTTTTTCAATACTTTAAGGTTGTCATGCTTGTGAATAGCATCCTTTCACAGAACAATGCAGCACTTCCTTATTTGCTTGACTGTCACTGCAGTRTGGAGGTATGAATTTGAATTTGATTTTGCTCATTAATCAGGTTTTGAGGATACATGGAGGAAAATGATATATATGAGTATATTATCATAAAATAATGTTACAATGATGGCTTTCACTGTATTTAGCTCTTGAAGCTTCTGGTTTGTCTACTGAACAAGGAGATGGTCTTTCTTGAGCAGCATTCAGCTGAATCCTTGATGAGTGATGAWTATTCAAGGTATTCAACCTTTTAACTATATTGTTATAGAAAATGTTTTTTTCCAAAAATGTTGAAAGTGAGTTTAAGAAACTGCTGAAATAGATACTTATTACACTAATAGACCTCTTGCAGTTCATGAAAATGTAACTCCAACTGGATGAAAAAAATATAGATTCTGGTTCCTATAAGAGCTGTCCTACAGATGAAGCTGCTTTGACATTGCACGCAATGGACCTATTTGCATCGCTCTAATTGCATTGTTTTATTGTGTCTGTTTGGTTATGCTACCTTACCTGAATTTTGTTTCATTCATATTGTTTTAGTTTGTCTCTTCAATTGTTGTGCCATGGTATATTTTTGATGGCAAGCCTAGTAACATGCACCGAGTCTAACAGACTCCTGGCTGATCTGCGTATCTTGGTTGGTCACAAGTACAACAGTCTAATTATTGGTTGTCTGAGGCTCTTCAAGGATGTTTCATATTTGAGAAACATAAGTGAAGGTAGAAGTTTTATTCATAATTTTTATTTGATCAGTGGCAGAAAAAGCCAAAGCATGACAGGGTAGAACTGGACTGTCCTAGTTTTGCTGTTTGACAAATTTTACTTTTCACTCAACCATGTAAAGATTTAAGTAACAATTCGCTAAAGAACTAGGGAACTCTCTATTGTTCTGCGGCATAGCAAGTTCCCCATGTACGAATGTCTTGGTTTTCACACTGATTATGTATCCATCTGTGGGTAACACATTTTTGAAATAAAATGTGGATAAACTCTATTTTTGAACAAAGTTTCTTTTGTATTAAAAGCTCTTATCCAATCATAAGCACTCAAAACAATAGCCAAAAGATGSTTCTAATTTGCTATGTTCCCCACGTAGAATTGCCTTAATATTAAAGCTAAAGAAAGCTTTCATGAAAGCGAAAACAGACATTAAATAGAATATTAGAAAATTTGCTAACTTGTGAAATTATAGCAGATTTTCATGTTTTAACCAATGGGATGGATGGATAATACAATGCGCAATTAGCACCTTCTTGCATTCCTGTGCCGTTTGCTTCCCTAGTTCTTACTCAGGGCATTACTTAATGTACAATACCCAATTTTTGAGATTACCAATCAAATGATTTGAATTAAGATTAGGAAATTTAGGTTATGGAAGTTTCATGAATTTCCCTGCAAATATTTGCATGTATAAAGATGTGCAAGTTGTTTACAGCAGTAGAACATTCTCCATCAGTATCAGTTTACCAAAATAGGTAACATCAACTTTTTCTTGCCCCTTTTTTGCAGTACTAATTGATCTCCTTGATGAAAACATTGAAGAACATGAAGTTCTAGGGGATGAAGATGGAATTGAAGACATGGAAGTATGTGAATGAAAACCCAGAGAAAGAGGCCATTATAGAAATTAATGTAGTTCCTTTGTCAATAATCAATGTTAATTTGATATATTTCATCGTTGTTTTTTATTCTAACAGTGAAAATAACAAGAAATGATGACATAGTATGATTATATATATTAATGTAAATAAACATCAAGCTGTTATAAATAATCACCAGCCTGTTATATAAGTGCTAATTTCTAGGTTTTAGGTAGCAAGAGACTGGATCCAAGTCATTTAATAGGCAATGTGCAGCACAATTTCATGAAGCCAAGCATTATGCTAGTTGTAGCCATTACACTTGTTCATGTCCACTACAACAGTCCATCTAAGCAGTTGTTGCTTTTTCTAAGCAACAATAGTAGTAGTTGCACCATTTCTACAAAGAAAATGTAAAAATCGATTGCTATTCTAGCATCTATGATATAATGCAAGGACTATAATTACCATCATGCTTTGCTGCACAAAATGGCGTCGCTGCACATTGCCTTTTAGATGGTGAGATAAGACATACATTCTGGAAAAGAGGGAAAGCAATCTAGTTCCTCGTCACATGAAACCCAGCAATGAATTTTACATGTATGGACTTATTATCTTAACCAGATCATAAAAATAATGTTGACCAACATGTAGAATCAGTCAAGCAGTCGGAATCCTTTTAGGGAGAGGAAAAACCTTGCACCAAACATAGACAGAATGCTAAACTGCTTTCAGACTTTAGTGTTCTAATAAGTTTGATTTGATTTTCTGTAAATATGTTAGGAATAATAGAATTAGAGACTACACCCAAATGTGAGAAATGGGATGATATCATTCCTAAAATACTACAAAGCCTGTCATATGTATTAGCTAGAGTAAGTAGCCTCATTTTGTGTGATAAAACACTACCCTGGCAATCTGCACGCAAAATACCTATCTGAAACTTGGACTTTGAGCATAGGTTCAAAAGCTGAGACTTTTACTAGCAATGCAAGAACAGGAGCAGAAAAAACTTCTTGCATTGTGTTTCGTTGTTACTAACAAAATCAAGTACAAGAGCAAGAAAAATGGAAGAATTTAATACCTTATGCTTGTTTATCACTGAATTGGTCAGATTTGAATAAAAAACAAGGCCTTTTGTGTTTGCACTTGCTCTTGCGTTGCTAGCTATATTTGGCTTTTTAAGATAGGTACGATTCTGTTGTTTACGTTATGTCATGCGCAAGTTTAATTGTACTTCCAGTTCAGTTGCACTCTTCACTAGAAGTACTACAGTGGGTTTGACATCATAAACAATGTCTACTGTTCCAGAATCTTTGCCTGTTGTTCAAGCTTCCAGTTTTCCACATCTTCTTCATATTTCTCCATAGCTCTCTTTTTCACTGAGAAATACATCTCCTTCTCTTCACTTGACATGTTGCGCCATTTCCTTCCCATTCTTTTCAACCATTCACTCATGCTTTCATCTTCTTCTCTGGGGAAATTCTCTTTTTCCATGTTTACAAATACTATAAATGTACCACCTGGTTTCTTTGGGAAGTTCAACAGTTTTAATCGCTCCTGGTTAAGCTTTTTCATCTGATCTTTAGCGAAATGGTTTAAAAAATCAATCTCGTCCTCTGTAAGCTTCCCCTGGAAGGCAACAACATCTGAGTGGTATTGTTCAACGTCTACCATAACTTTTTTCTTGATACGGTCCTTTTCTTCTACTGAGACCTTCTTCCACTCCTCGCTAAGTTTCCCAATAACCTCTTGAGTATTCAATTCGGGGTTTTGGTCTCTTACTTTAGCAAAGTTTTCCTTCACAAACCGAGCATAAACGCCTGCAGGTTTGCGAGGCATCTTTTCAAACGGAGCCTTGAACTCGGCCATTTCTTCGTCATATGTTCGTCTGTATTCTGCTTTGATTTCGGGATCAAGTTGAGACCATTCTTCAGATATAAGATGGTTAAGCTCCTGTAGCTTTAAATCAGGGCTTTCTTTTTTGAATTTAGTGATGAATTCACTACGAAAACGAAGATAAGGTTGAATTGGCCGTTTGTATCTGGAACTGTTTTCTTCAGCATTCTGTTGACTCGAGGTCGAAAATCCAAGCTTTGACAGTTTCTCTGCAAGAACGATGGATGGACAAAGTTGATTTCTTGAGAAGGAACACAGAAGCGCTCGTGAAATTGAAATAAAATTCATACTTTTCCCATAAAATGAAACTGAAATTGAAACCAGAATAAGAATGCCGCCAAAAATCACAAAAGTCGCAAAGCGTCTTGGGAGTTTTCATTTACGAATAGAAAGGGGAGGGGAGGGCCGGGGAAAAATAAAGGACTTTTTTCATCCACAATGTTTTTTACCTCCTTATCATTATTTTAATCTCATTGTTCCATATCGCACCAAAGTGGAAATTAACTAGAAATATTTGTTATGGTAATTTGGTTATGGCTTTTATTTGAGTTTATGCACTAATAACAACGAATTGTAATTTTTCAAGGTCTAGTTATTTCAAGTCAACCTAGCAAACAAAATAAAAGTTATGCTTCAATAATAACGGTTACGTTACCCAAAGTAAGTTCTTCATCTCATTGTATCAATATCTATAGTGTTTTTTACCCCTGTTGGCATAATTCTTTTGCTTCATAGATATTTTAATATAAAGTATAATATTATTGTTTTATAATCAGCGCCATAGATATTACAGGAATGCAATAAGACGAAGAAGTTATGAAACCATAACCTAAACATACCCCTCTTCATCATGCTGCTAGTGAAATGCTTGAGGAAGTCCTCCTTCTGGCATTTGATAGAACCATGCTGTGAAATGAGATCTATCCACATTTGAGTCTTGTTTTAGCAGTTGAAATATTTTATTGATTTTTTTGCACAGTCAAAAATCGTAATGTATTCTTACATTTTCCCAGTGAATCAAAATATCTTCAGTCTACTGATGTCTGCCATGTGTGAAGAAACAGCAGGGTGAAAACACAATTTGAAAAGTACTGCTTTGTCGACCATCCAGTTAAAATGTAAAGATATCAAATACCTATTGAATAACACCTTCATAAATAATATAGCAAGTTTTTATTCAATTTTCAATTAACAGAAATAATCATGAATGTCACTCCAACTGTATCGATTTATAAATACCTCAGCTGTGAACTTTCAAACATATGTGCAAAAATGTCAAAATGTTAATTATAAAATATCACATTTCCTTTTTTTCTATTTTACCATTACTTCACAAAGCTTCAGTCGTATTTTTTATTTTATTTTTGATATTCAACGTTGAAAACCACCAACTTCATCAAGACTAAATGTTTCTTTGTCATCCCTTTCCATGGCAAACTTCATGTAAGACTTCTTACTGGCTTCTCTGAATTTTCGCTTKTCGTCCTCGTTCATATCTCGCCATTTTTGGGCCATCGACTCGTTCCATTCGCCCGTCGTCTGCATGGAATTTTTAGGAAATGATTCCCGAGCTGCTTTCAGAAAAWAAGCAAAAGCAGTTGTGGGCCTTTTGGGGAATTCAATAGGAGCTTTTGAGGCTGCTTCGGTCTCGGTTAGCTGTTTGTTTTGGTCTTTTAACGTCTGGACTATCCTCTCGTCGTCACTCATCGCATCTTCAAATGATATCAGCTGTTGTTTGTACTTCTCGACCTGCTCCATGTACATTRGCCTATAAGCTTCTCTTTCACCATCAGGTAACTCTTTCCATTGATCACCAATCAAGCGGATCAGCTCGTTTTGATTTAAGTAGATATTTTTGGAGCGAAATTCATCACTGTTGTCCCTCAAATACAAGCCAAATATCCCTGGGGGAGGATTTGGTTTCTCTAATAACATCGAAGTTTTTTTGGTGGAAGCAAAGCGCAGTTGTCTCCACACATGTTTTGGTTGTAGGATGAAACGCCTGGACATAGTAATTAACTGCAGTTGTCTTCTCATGCACTTCAGGAAATCTGAATAAACACCAAGACTCCTTGCCTTGTTGACCTTGTTGGACGATAGTCCCTTACTGTTTATCAATTTGTCAAGACCTTAATTCGCCAGCAGCAAAAACAATTCCAGGACCAATTATCGATTAAAAGTTAAGTAGAAGATGTTACTATTTTGCAAAAGCCTTCTTCTAATAAACCGATATACGACTCAGATTGTCGTCAAGGTAATGTTTTCTGCACAGAGCTGAGCAGCACATGCGGAAAATCAGGTTTTTTACGTCCACGTGATCACCCTGCTACCCTGCGTTGATACGTAAACGCCATGGTACACGTGACAAACAGTACTTTTACGTATATTGAAACCTGTAAAACAGGTTATGTTGACAATAATAAACCTGTTAAACACGTTTTGTACAATGTAAAATACAAAATATATCAAGAAATTAAATAAATAAAAAAATTATACAGTCATTTAAAAAAAGATGCAATAATAATGATATCAATGATAACATGGATAATAAAAGCACATCCAGTGCTTTTATTATCCATGATGATAATAATAATAATAATATATCAAATGAGCCAGAAAGTGGGTATTTACCCACTGCAACCGACCTCGTAAAGCAAGCAGAAGCTAGCCTCCTTTGCAGACGTTATTAGTATAAATTTTTAGCGCACGTAGTCGCGCACGTATCGAGAAAGTGTTCTTTGGATTTCCTGTGTTATAGAACACAGGGACTCCAAGATATAGATTTCAAAACAAAATGGCGGCCTACACTGTCTTACAAGATGCACTGAAAATTAGCCGCCAATTTCGTTTACTATCTACAGCTAAAATTGTTTCTTTTGCACGACAGATAAGCAGGAAAGAAGTTGCTGTGMAAGTGGAAGTTGGAGGAAGGCATGTGGAGACAATATGTTCTTATCACAACGTTTGACATGCACGTGGTTTAATTCTGTGTRTTATCYATAGTTTTGTTTTTTACTTTCTAGGCCACTTAAGATCTCTTCTGGAAAGCTTGCTTTTCTCGCAGATGGAGCAACGGTCGTAGAGGTATTAAATTTAACCGAAGCGGT